ACATTTCATACTAGATATGTTTGCCATGTTCTTAACTTATGTGTACAAGATGGAATTAAAGCAATTAGTCCATACTATAACAAAATTAGAGAAGTTATTATGTTTATTAATAGCTCAAACATGAGATTCCAAAAATGGAAAGGTTTTTTAAGACAACAAAAGATAAGAGCAATAAAAATCAAAACCGATTGTCCAACTAGGTGGAATTCCACCTATGACATGTTAACCAAGGCAATTGAATATAAGAATCCCTTAACAATTTCTTACAACCAAAAATTTCCACAAAATGCTTTATATGAGGATGATTGGGATAAATGTGAAAGATATATGCAATTTTTACAATTATTATATAACATGACATTTTGTTTTTCTTCTGTTTATAATCCTTGTGCTCAAAACTTTCTTTCAAATGCATGTTTACTCGCCCAGCTTTTCTCTGATCATCGCAATCAAAGTGATTATGATCAATATCTTCGAGCAATGGAAATAAAGTGGCGTAAATATTTTTATATTTTTGCTTCCATATTAGAACCTAGGCAAAAGTATAAAAATACATTTATGTTAGTGGACATTTATTTTCAATGCATGCTTATTGACGATAGTGTAGACACCTATAAGAGTAATGTGAAGGATCAATTTTTTGCTTTATATAGAGTTTATGAAATCAAATATGGCACCGTTCCTCGCTCTGGCCCTTCCCAACCATCTAAAAACATAAGTAAAAAGGCCAAGCATTTATTTTCACAAGCTACTAACTTGATTTCAAGGTTTTCAAGTGATTCATCAATAAGGAGAATGCAAAGCGATGTCTCGGAGTTGCAAATGTACCTGAGTTACGACATCACCAAGGACATGGACGACGATGAGATAAACAGCCTCGACCTCCTTGTATGGTGGAAACAACAAAGCTCGAAGCATCCAACTTTGGCGGCAATGACACGAGACATTCTTGGTATCAAAGTCTCCTCTATTGCCTCCGAATGAGCTTTCAGCGCATCCGGGAGGATTTTAGACGATAGAAGAACAAGTCTAAAACTCGAAACATTTGAAATGTGCGTGTGTTTCAAAAATTGGTTGGATGCTGAAAATCGCTTAGAAGACCGTACTTACGCCAACAACGACAACGATGACGGAACCTCCACTTCCGACCGTTCGGGTTCGGCTAGTTCTTAATCTATTCTTTTAGCCGATAACCTTGAACGCGAAAGCGAAGAAGAAGAAGAAGAAGAAGATGAAGAACTATAAATGGATTACATACTTCTAACTGTAGACAATTTTTGTATAATATCCTTGTACGAAATCATTATCATTGTACGATTTTTATCATTATTACTTATTAGATTAATATCAAACTTTTATACTTGAGTTTTTTTTTTTTTTTTTTTTTTTTTTTTTTTTTTTTTGAAATTTATATCTTCCAACGTTAAGAAGTATGTATTTATTTGTAATATTTCAAGTAATAATAATATGAAGTATGCATTAATCACATTCAAAGAATCAAAGTCCAATTTTAGCCGTTAAGATTTGAAATTTTCATCTTCGCCGTTAAGAAAATAAAAAGTAATATAAACAAAATAAGTTAATAACTAATTAACTATAATAAATAAAAAAGTATAATAAATTATAATTATAACTATAATAAATATAAATTATAATGAATTATAACTATAATAAATATAAATTATAATAATAAGAAGTAATACCAAGTATAATAATAAAATAATAAATTATAATAACAAGTATAATAATTAAATAAATAAATTATAATAAAACAAGTATAATAAAAAAATAATAATAAACTTAATTAATTAATTTATAATAATAAGAAGTAAACTTAATTAGTTAATTATAAAAAAATAATGTATTGTTTTTTTTTAAAAAAAAAATAAAAGAAAATAAAACTGAAGAACGTGACAGGCACGTGGGCTGACCTGGCACTAGGGGTGAGCACAACCGGGTATCCGGTCATATTCTCACTACCCGGATCCGGAACCGGTTATGACCGGGTCCCAAGAATTGGAACTGGTCCCGAAACCGGTTCCAAGACCGTGTACCCGGTTCTTATTCTATAGTTTTATTGTTTTTTTTTTTGAGCTTGTAGAGAGGCATTAACCTCATCATCAACACTTCCCTCTTTATATCTTCAACAAAAAACTGTAGACCAACAAAGATTTATAGACAAAATCACATTTATTTCACCATTTTTATAAAATTAAGCAAGAAACATTCACCACCCAAACGGCAAATTGCATTCACAACCACGTCGCAACTAAAAATGCCGACCAAGTTGCTGCCAAGCCAATGGCAAACTGCTTACCTCGAAAAATACAACCAAACCCAGAAAAAACTTCGATTAGTTTGAGTAATTTAGTTCATCATAGCCTCATTGGTGAATAATTGAAGCAACTGATCTTTGCTTGATGGTCGTTTAATGGTGGTCGGAGAACGAAAGAGAGGAACAAAGACTGAAGGAGGCGAATAGGCGGTTGAGGAATTGGGGAACAAAAACCCTAAATGTTAATAACTTTTGAAATGTGAGTAAATGAGTTACTGAAATGTGAGGATTTGGGGAACGAAGACTGAATAGGGAAGGCTGGATATTGAAGCCAGTTGGGCTTGATCCTAAGATCATTATCCAGTATTATTTGTTTTAAAGAAACTGCATAGTGTATATTAGTGTAATAGTATTGACATAAAAAAAAAAAATTAAATTAAATCTGAACATTTACCGGGTATCCAGTGGGTACCGGGTCCGAAATTTCAGGACCCGGTCCGGAACCGGTTACAACCGGGTCCGACATTTTGGACCCGGTCCCGGAACCGGTGAGACTAGCTCCGGGTCTGGACCCGGCGGATCTTAACCGGTTCCAGATCCGGTACCGGGTACCCTGGGTCTTTGCTCACCCCTACCTTGCACGGTACACCCGGCACGTGGGCCGTGCCGTGTCGTGGGCTGGCCTGGTGGAAATGGAGGCACGGCCCGCAGCCACGGCTAGCCCGCCAGGCACGACTCGCGACGGCACGGCCCGGCCTGCTGCCCACCTTTAGTTGACTCTATTAAAACAACGGATTTGCATTTTAACACTGACAAGTTACAAAAGAAGGTAAAATAAATTTAATTTAAAAGGAAAAGAAGAGAAGAGAAAAGGAGGGAAACAAATTCTCTTGTTTGAGTAAAGGATTGGAGTAAGGAAGGGGAAGGAGATGAAGAGATCTATTTTCCCTCTCTCTTTAATAAGTATAATCCCTCCAAAATTAAAGAGATTTGGAGGGAAAATAAAGCTCACTTTCACCTCCCTTTCTTTTCCCTTCCCTTCCCTTCCTCCGTTTTCTTTCCCTTCTTTTCTTTCCTTCTTTGTTAGTGAATATACGTAATTTGGCCATGGGCCTAAATTAGGCTCCTCGTTGAGATAACCAGTTAGATGAGGGCCTATGATCAACGTGGAAGCAAAACAACAATGACCCAAATCATATATGGCAGAAAGCCAGAAAGCAACATAAATAAATTTGCAACCGCCCATTTTTTTTTTATTAGTTTTTTTTATCCCCCAAAATGCTACACCAATCTAAAAATATGTTTTTGGGCCACACATTCCGAGGCCACGGGCTTTTACGTGCCTCAGCCAAATTTCAATACGTAGTAATTTTGTAACAATCCAACTTTATCTTAATTATATATCGTTTTAATTTTTAAAGGTCGTGAATGTTGCTATGACATCTAAATCCCTTCATTACTGTTTATTTTCTTGTAGGCTTGTAGCCTTGTAACTCCTTTTATTCCATATTAAGTATACGGCAAAATTACACTCATTGACATCAACTTAAAATTATGTTGTAAATATTGACACGAAATTGTGTCACTTGTTAACTTGACACCAACTTGCCCAAAAAAGAATAAAATTGACATTAAAGGCAATAAACATTCAATAATACTCTACATCTATATAGTCTTATCTTTCCAACACATTAAGAACTTTTTGAAGCAAATGGTTGTTGAAAAAGAATTTTATACTTGTACAAGGGTTGAAAGTTACGTAAAGTTAGTTGTTCGGTGTCATTTATGTCAATTTTGTAATTTTTGTAGCAAGTTGGTATCAGTTTAGCAAGTGATATAAGTTGGTGTCAATAATTGCAAAACTTCACAAAGTTGATGTTAATGATTGTAATTTTGCCTAAGTATACACTGGTTAAACACCAAGCCTTATATTTTGCACATTAGACACCTTCTTTCTTATAACATCTTAATTCTTAAGAGCAACTCCAGTGGTTGTAGCTAAAGACTTACTTGCAATTTTATATAATCCCTATCTACTAGCTTAACCATTGGAGCTACAAAATGCAATTGCCAAGCTCATTTGCTTGAAAAAGTACTTACCAAAAAAGAATAAATAAAATTAAATAAAAAGAAGCTAATTAATTAATTGAGGTTCATTTAAATAGCAAGCTAATAGCTAGCCATTGGAGCTCAATGTAGCTATAATGACAATTAGCTTAAAAGCTTATGTGGCATGACGAGCTAATTTGATAATTAGCTTATCATTGTAGTTGCTCTAATAAAACTCGAATTTCTATTAATCTGAGTACCAATTTGGCAAAGAATCCTATTTTTACACCAATCAAGCAAATGAAACAATTCGACCTTGAGGATTAACGTCGTTGTCTCGTCGACAAATTTCCCTCGGTGGCCCGGTATGATCGATTTGATATTACATCTGAGATCCGACATTGCAACACCCTTTTGATGAACAACAGTGTACTTACAGGTCCATCTCTTACTATATTCATAGATTGAAAGTAGAAAAGCATACTGCAGTTCTTTGGCGCTAACTCTGATTGAAACCTTTGCCCCCTTAAATCAACCTTTTTCTTTCTCATCTTTTTAGTCCTCCAAATTAATCCTTTTATACCCCACCATTTTAACAAAGCTTAGCTAGCTGTAAAGCTTCTATCAATAACAAAATCATAATTAAAATTTCCAAACAATATAAAGTATACCAGTTTAAATAAAACATGATTATATATATTTATTCATTAATGTTTCAGACAATCCCATCATTGCTGTCTATAGTAACTTATGGAATAAAATTTAAAAAAATGGAATTTCATGTAGAATTTATAGGATTATATAGTAGTATTATTGTGATCAAACACAAGCCTATTTCCAACTGAAAAAGAAGAAGAAAAAAAAACTTCTAGCTCTAGCTTCTTCTAGCTTTTCTTTTTGATTTAATTAAAAAAAAAAATGCCAACAATTTCCCCTGAAAGTCACCAAGAGAAAGAAACAAACACCTTCGATTTTCGAGCCCCACCGCCATCTCCAATCGGCTCAAGCCGTCGTGCTTCCTCCGTGGCGAATGATGAGGTCTTAACAGAGTTTCTAGAGCACAGCCTTCGGGTCCCGGACCTTATCCTCCCTGATCGAATCTTCCCAAGACAAAAACCATTCAGGGATATTCCAGAGATTGATTTTCAGGTTCTGAATTCTGCAAAAGATGATTTAGTTTTGAAGATCCGAGATTCTTTGTCGGAAATTGGGTGTTTTCAGGTGATCAATCATGGGATTTCGCCGGAGTTGATCAAGACGGTGGTTAGGCGGGCACGACGGGTGTTTAGAATGTCGCCGGAGAAGAAGAGAATGGCGGTGAGATCGCCGGAGATGGAGTTTGGGTTTGAGGATCAAGTGAGTGGGGAGCAAGAGGAGGTTGTGAATGAGATGGGTGAGGAATTTGTTTGGGGCAGGGGATTTGGTTTTAAGTTAAAAATGGAGGGAATTTGGCCAAATAAGTTTTCAAAATTCAGGTATTTAACGGTCAATCTATGATCTATTTTTTTTTTCATTTTTTGTTTTTGTCTGTTTTCAAGTTGTTTATTTATTTATGCAACAATTAATGTCACCGATGACAAAATTAATGATATTAAGAGACAAAAGAAATTAAAATCATCGTTGTTAGTTTATTAAAAGAAAAAAATGATGAATAATCACTGCGGTTAGTGTATTTTTTTTTTAAATGACAAAATTAACTAATCACCGCGGTTAGTTAATTGAATATGAATACATAAATTTGACAAATTAAGTTTTAATTTAGTCACAAATTGAGGTTCTAAATAGGTTTTTTTTTTTTTTTTTTTTTTTTTTTTTTTTTTTTACAGGGAATTCTAAATAGTTGAGAAATTGTTTAGTCATAAGCAGTATGGAGTACAATGGTTGAATACTACAAATTGCTATTTTTTTTAAAGAAAAATATATTATAAATAGTACAGAAAATATTGTTACTCTGTATTACATTATAATATTTGGAATGATCGCCATTGTATTTAACATACGTTATTAAATCATGAAAATAACTAATAATAAGTTTGCATGCAATATTGAAACCAAAGTTACTTGACATGATTCATGTGATATAGATCCACAGTTTAAGTTATGTTTTTGTGTGTGAGCGTTCGCGTGTAGGGTTTAAAAATCCCCCCCCCCCTATATATTCAATATTCATTACTATATCACTCAATACCATTTTAAAGTGTTAGCAACTAATAATTGAAATTCAAAAGTAAACATCAAATTTTAAATGAACATTTATATTATTATAGATTAAAACTCGTTTCAATCATTTTCTTCCTATCGTTAAAACTCGAGCCAATGGATTGACAAATTGAATGATGTTTATACATTGCAGTGACAAAATGGAGACCTTGGCAACATCAATGGAGAAGATTGCTAAGGAGATAATGTTGATCCTAAATGAAAACTACTCCAATCTACCAAATAGTAATCTGGATGATTGTGTATGCCACATATACAAGCATCCTCATGACGTGTCAGCTGATCAATGCCTTAGCTCCCTTCGATATGACGTCATAAGGATGATGATCAAAAGGTCAGATTATTCCCATGCAGTATCATTGCATGTTTGTGATGGATCTTCTGAGTTTCATGTTTACTCTAAGAAAGGCTGGATTTCTTTCACCCCACTTGAAAATGCCTTGATTGTCACAGCTGGGGATCAACTACAGGTAAATCACACAAACAATACTTTAGCCTTATTGTGGTTATAGCACGTTGATTCAAATATATATGAAACGGGAAAATTATTAGTTGTAGGGAAAACTTGTACACAACAAGTGTATTGTTTATAGCAGACTAAATCATCACCATAATCACATACAATCAATTATGAAAGAGTACCTTTTATACAATGGGGGTGGGGGGGGGGGGGGGGGGGTTGGCTAATAGCCTAATTGACTATGTTTGTTGTGTACTTTACTACTACGAGTCTATGTTACACCCGTTGTATTGGTCATCATGACCAACATTTTTTGACATGGAAGGCCCCTCGTGTCCCTTGAAACATAATCATGACTCAAGGATGTTGCATTGCTTAGATTAATTAGTACCCTTTTGAGCTGTCTAATTTTTTTTTGTGTTCTTAATTAATCATTTCATTGCAATTAGATTAATCATAATTAGTACTATGGTTTTATCTAATGTATTCACTAATCTTTGCATTAATTTGGGTGTATATTATGACAGGCTTGGAGTGGTGGACGTTACAAACAAGTGATAGGAAAACCAATATATACATTTCAAAATAAAGATTGTATATCATTGGCTTTCCTTTGCTCTCCTCCTATTTTATGTAGGAAAAATAACGATGAATTTCATCACCAAGAGAAAAAAGAAAGGATTATTTCACTACGACAACAAGCTCTTTTTGCTATAGTTTTTACAATTGCATGTCAGTTTTTGATCCATTTTTACTGCAAATTATCACATCCATGATTTCTTTCTGTGTTCATTGTGATGTTCTTGATGATTTTTTACTCTAATTACTCGTCTTTTGTGTTGTACTTTTGTGATTATATTATTGGAATTAAGGAGTAATATGATTATTAAACAAGGGCATGAGGCTTTCCTTACAAAACAACGAAGCACATCATAGTTTGTTTTTTTGACATAACACTTTATAAATAAATTCAACGATTTTACCACCAAATGCAATCGAGTTTTTTTGAAAATTCACTAATTACCATTGAGTTTTTCAAAATTCACCAAATGCTGTTGAGTTTTTAAAAATTCACCAAATGCCCTTATTGACTAACAATCTTTAGCTCCGTTAGTCATTAGGGTAAATCATTACTTGTGTCATGATATCATTGATTCTTTTTAATTATTTATTTTCAATTAATAAAAAAAATAACATTTCACCCATCTTCCATCAAAACCCATTGTTAACAGAAGTTTCCTCGGAAAACCCCATTCATCCCAAACTTTGCACGATTTACTTTGAATAATCCCTACTTTCGTTTGTTTTGGGACAATACAAACTTTTATGTAGATTTTCCTCCACCAGTCCTAACCAGAATTGTAACACGTGGCATCATGTGATTGGTTTAAAATAATAATAAAAAAAATCAAATCAAATAAAAAAAAACAACCTCCCTTACCAGCCACCCCCCTCCCCCTAACCCAGCCGGAAACAACTAACCCCAACCCAGCCAGAAACCTCTCCATTCCCCTGCCACCCCATTGAAACAACTCCCCCAAAGCCCCACCCTCAAAACTGCCCCCTCCCCCACACTCGAAAGCACCACGTATCCCCACCCACCGCCCTCGAAACCGCCACATACTCCTACCGCGGCCCGCCCTCGTGAAACCACCCCCTAATATCTCTTGCCGTCAAAACCATTCCCCCCATTGTCGGAATAGAGAGACACTACTAAAATTCGGTGAAATTGAGACCTTTTTTTTACGATCGTCATTAAAACGGTCGCAAAATATGAAATATGCTACCGTTTTTTACGCAGTTGCAATATTGCGACTGTTTTCAAAGCGGCCGCAAATTTGCAATCGTTTTTGGGCTATTAAACGGGCACGAAGGTAAGTGACTGTTTTCTTTTTTCATTTTCATTTTATTTGAAGTAAAAAGGATATTGAAGGAGCAGTTAACCACAACTCCAGTTTTAACCCTAACAGATAGAAGTGGCACATATGATGTTTATAGTGATGCCTCGAAGAATGGTTTAGGGTGTGTTTTAATGCAATATGGAAAGGTAATAGCTTATGCCTCTAGGCAAATGAAACCTTACGAGTTTAATTATCCCACGCATGACCTAGAGCTAGTAGCAATAGTTTTTACACTCAAAATTTGGAGACATTACCAGTATGGTGTAAGGTGTAGAATATACATAGATCACAAAAGTTTGAAATATATATTCACTTAGAAAGAGCTAAACATGTATCAACATAGATGGCTAGAGTTGATAAAGGACTATGATCTAGATATTTAGTGCCATGAAGGAAAGGCTAATGTGGTAGCCGATGCTTTAAGTAGAAAATCTAGTCCCAAAGTGAATGCATTGGTAGTGGCGGGTGAGTTGTGTAGAGAAATTGAAAAGTTGAACTTAGAAATTATTGAAAAAGGTGGAGTAGAAGGAATTCTATACAACATAAGCATCCGGCCAACTGTATTTGATAAGATAAGGGAAAAGAAAATAGGAGATGTTAAATTAGATCGAATTCGGGACAAAATTAGGCAAGTGAAGGCAGTGGATTTTAAAATCTACGAAGATGGAAGTTTGAGGTACAAAGGAAGGTGGTGTGTACCCCAAAGATGTGAGGAGGTGAAAAAGAGATTAATGGCAAAAGGGCACAATACACCATACTCTGCATCCACGAGGATAAGCTCTACAAATATTTAAAGAAGATGTATTGGTGGCTAAGAATGAAGTTACAAAATTTGTATAAGAATGTTTAACCTGCCAAAAGGTTAAAATCGAGCATAAAAGACCTCAAGGGATGGTACAACCTTTAGAAATTCCTATATGGAAGTGGGATTGTATTTCCATGGATTTCTTGACTTGTCTGCCTAAGTCATGAGGAGGGAATGACACGATATGGGTTGTGGTTGATAGGCTTACAAAATTTGCAGTGTTTATACTAATGTAGGAGACTTGGAAGATGGAGCAACTTCCAAAGACTTACATTAAACACATGGTAAGACTACATGGGGTTCCAATAGATATTGTGTTTGACAGAGATTCTAGGTTTCTTTTGAAATTCTAGAAAAGCCTGAAAAAAAAAAACTATGGTACTACGCTAAAGATGAGTACAGCCTTTCACTCGGGGCTGTTAAACTGAAAGAACGATTCAAACTTTAGAGGATATGTTTCAAGCCTATGTGACTGATTTTTAAGGAGGATGGGAATATAATTTAGACTTGATAGATTTCTCTTACAATAATAGTTACCACACTAGCATTGGGATGGCACCATTTAAAGCTTTGTATGGCAGGAAGTGCAGTAGTCCATTGTGTTTGAACAACATTAGTGAAACAGTGGCCTTAGGACCGCAAATGATTGAAGATACTATGGAAAAAGTGAGTGTAATTCAAGATAAGATTCAAGTTGTGCAGGATAGACATAAGAGCTACGCGGATTTGAAGTAGGTGGTAAGGTGTTATTGAAAGTCTCACCAATGAAAGGAGTGATGAGATTCGAGAAAAAGGGAAAGTTGAGTCCAAAATATATTGGACCGTATGAGATATTGCAGAGAATAGGCAAAGTTGCATACAAATTGGCATTGCCAATGGATTTGAACAAAGTACATGATGTTTTTCATGTTTCTCAATTGAGAAGATATATCCCGAATAAATCACATGATTTGCAACCCGAGACCATAGAGTTAGACCAAAGCTTATTTAACTTATGAGGAAAGACCTGTTAAGATCCTTGATAAAAAGGTGAGAAAGACACGCAACAAAGGTGTTGATCTAGTGAAAGTATTGTGGTCTAATCAACAATATGAAGAAGCTACTTGGGAAGCTAAAACTGAAATGAGAAAGAATTACCTGGAATTATTTGAGGTACGTACGTAGAGTTACGGGGTCGTAACTTGTTTTCTTTAAGAGAGGTAGAATGCGGTAGAATTTTGCGCTTTTTCCCCATTTTTACTTCAATTTTGTGCATTTTTGCACAATTCGAAGCAAGTTTGCTTTGAAAAGTAAGAATGGTAAGAAGTAGACTCCTAAAAGAGTACAACAATAATGAAAAGTTTGGCCAAAATAAGCAAAAATATACTTAAATGAGTGTAAAACCTTCAATTTATTTATCCTCAGTTTCGGGACAAAACTTCTTTTAAGGGAGGTACATTGTAATACTCCGTATTTTTATACAAGTTATAAATTATTTTATATTTATAAAGCGTATTTTAAATTAAATTTTATATATTTATAAAAATACTTAAATATTTTAAATTAGGGCAATTTTTTATATGTAAATATGATTTGGAAAAATAATTTAATTTTAAGATTTCTTAAGTTGAATTGTTTCAAATTAGAAATAAAGAGTCTTAAACCAAGTAGGTAAGGGTATTTTAGAAAAGATAAAAATTTAAGGGTTTTAAGCAAATCTATATAAACCCACTCATGGACAAACAAATCAGTTGCCCAGAGTTGTAGTTTTCAAGTGGTAACTTTTCTCTTTTCTTTTATTTTTTCCAAGATTCAATTTTTATTTTATGCCTTGATGTTTAATATAAAAAAAAGGGGGATTAAGTACCACGACAGCAGGTGGTCAACAGCCCCACCCACGCCGGCCACCGCCACCACCAGACGTCTGGCAGCGGCGGCAAGCTGCGCCACCCTCTGCTGCTGTGGAACAGTTCTTAATAAAAAATAATTCTAATATTTTCTTTCTTAATTTTAAGGTAATTTTAGAAAATAACACCTCAAAAAACCCAAATTTTGATTATAACACCACAAAAAAAAAAAAACCTTTATTATAACACCACAAAAAAAACCAAAAAAAGGGTTTCACCACCATTTAACTTTGTCATCCAAAAAAAACCGTTAAGTGGGCCCCACACAGTACACGTGTCAATCAACTATTGGATTAAAAAAACCATAAAATTAAAAAAAAAAAAACTTTAAAATAATAAAGAAAACCCCCTCCCAGCCCCTCCCCCACTGGACGACCTCCCCCCAACTAGAAACCACCAGCCCCCCTCCCCTCCCCGCCCCCAATTCCACCGAAACACAACCTGTAGCCCCCGAAACCACCCAGCGGCCCTCGAAATCCACTCCAGAGCCCCTTAAACCCACCCCATAGCCACCTAAAACCCACCTCACCTACCTCCTTACAGCCACAAACCACCCCCAAAGTGCCTCCTCTCCATTTCGCCCACCCTAAAACATTCCCTACCACGGCCGTCACCCCAACCCAGCCCCCATCGCTGTCTCCCCGACCTGAAACCGTCGCCGACCCACCCAGACCCAGGCCTTGACCGCCGAGTGTTTTTAATTTGTTGTGGTCGTGATTTGCGGTGATAAGGCAGGGTTAGGGTGGTTTTCGGGGAGGGGGAAGGGAGGGTTTCACCGGTTTTGGTGGGGCAGGAGTGCCGGCGGCTTGGGTTAGGCAGTCGGCGGTGGGGGACAGGTGGTGCAGGTGGTGGGGTGGGCGCGCTGGGTTAGGTTGTTTAGGTTTTTTTTTTCTTTTTTTTATATATATTTTTAAATTTTTTTAAAACCAATAGTATAGTGACACGTGTTTTTTATCCAATAAATAATTGACACATGTACAATGTGGGGCCCACTATTGATTTTTTGGATGGAAAAGTTAAGTGGCAGTGAAACCAATTGTTTGATTTTTTTTTTGGTGTTATAATCAAAGTTTTTTTTTTTTTTTTTTTGGTGTTATAATCAAAATCGTCGTGACAATTTTTGGGTGTTATTTTCTAATTGTACCTAATTTTAATTATTGATTTTGTTTATAATTTTAGATTTTTAAATATATTGATTGTTGGGATATTTGATGATGATTTTATGATTAAAGATTCAATTTTTATTGTGGGAAATTGAAGTAATAATTTTCAGATTATTTGATTGTTTTAAAAGCTCCAAATTGAAACCCTA